TGGTGATGCAGAAAACACATGAATATGTTTTAATGCTTGATCCTGACCAGCTGCCCAGTCCATTTGGTAAATGGTCTGCACTTCCACAGCCCTTTTAACCAAAGCGCTTCACAATGTGTTTCTCATTCACACATTCACACATTCATGCACCAAGCCTGCCATGCAAGGTGCTGCCTGCCATCGGGGGCAACTTCAGGTTCAGTCTTGCCCAAGGACACTTGGACTGTGGAGGGGATGGAACCACCAACCCGCTCTACCACCTGAGCCACATTTCACACTGCAGATGGTGCAGCTAGTTAAATACAGATTGGACAATGATACGTCTGTTGTTTTTTATTACGGAGAATCAAATTAATTCCATCGCTGACATGAGTCTCATTTTGATTTCGCCAAAACAATCTCATGACTCCCACATACTCTTCAGTATCATGTTTAAATGTGTGAAGTTCAAGAGAGTGCAGCTGTCACATCAGAAATCAGCAGCTGTGGGGCTACAGCTCACCTGGTGGAGCTGGCGTCCCATGTGCAGGGCTACAGGCCCCATGTGGAGGTCATGGGTTCGAATCCCGCTCATGACCCTTTCCCACACGTCCTCCCTCCATTCTTCTCCCCCACTTTCCTGTCTCTCTCACTACACTATCAAATAAAGGCACAAAGGCCAAAAACTTAAAAACACTTTAAAAAAAGAAATAAGCAGCTGCTTTGAGAGTAACTAAATGGTAAAGTACATGTAGTAACTTAGACAGATTAGTTTTCTACCAGCATGTCTCTCCTGCATCACCTCCTGCAGCAGCGCTCTTTGGTGTAACACTTGTAGGTTTTATCAAGCCAGTTAGCCCAGAGAAAGCCTGGCTTTGTCAAACTCCCAGCATGTTGTCTGACTGTGTTTTCCCTGACTAGGATTTGTGGTGGGACACTCCGGACTGTACCAAGCTATCGCCATGTTCCTGGTGGCCTACTTCATCATCTGCATGACTGTGCTGTCGGTGTGCGCCATCTCCACCAACGGAGCCCTGGATGCCGGGGGAGCCTACTGTATCCTTTCACACACGCCGTCACGTGACGCCTGCATGTGACGGACAGCGTCGTGTAGTGACGCTGTCCGTGGTCAAGGTATGAACACACAGCAGTGGAATTCCTCGCTGCACTGGACAAAGACCATCTGTGTGTTTGTCTCAGACGGACATTATGTGTGTGTGTCTCTGAATGGAGCTTGATTTGACCGTTAGCTGCACCACAAGACGCTTCATGGTGAGTCCTGGTTTCGCTGGCGAGTGCAAAGACAGAATGAGTCACAACGCTTTTGGGAAACACACCGAGTTAGAATAAACCAGAATCCTGTAGGTACGTTTCTATGCACTCCATGTTTTTGATGACAGGCCATTTCCAGTGAGAGCTCAGAGGGAAACAGGCACTGACACGACAGCACATGTAGACGCTGGTACATCCAGTCGTCTCACTTCCTGCTGTAGCAGATGATTACGTAGGAATAATGTAATAAACTCATTTGCAGTAATTTCTGGTGGGCCCAGAAACAGTGTTGTTTAAATCTAATCAAAGTGTTTGTGTTTCCGTGCTGAGGAGGACTTCACCCTCTTCTGTCTGCATCTGTGTTTAGAAGGCTGACATTTGAGGAAACATGTTTGTTCCCTTTCTTTTTGAGGTTTAGATAAGAGGATTAAAACAGTATTTTCTATTAAAGGTGGAGTCAGTCATTCTAGCTAGCATGTTCCAGATTTACCCTCCCTCTCAATCCCACTACCCAAACCCTCGCTCCCCTCCCCGTCCCCCCGTCTCGTACACCAACACACACTCAAAATCACTTCGGACACCCTGGAATAGAGTTCTGTGGCTCGTCTCAGCCTCTTGGTTTCCCATTTACGCAGCCAGAGCTGTGTGCAAACATGGGATCTTTATTCAGCGCACACACAGGAAAGACAGCGAGTGGACCGCCAGGAGATGTTCACTGAGTTTGACAACAGCTGTATTGGATTAGAATCACTGACTTTACCTTTAAATACGAAGCCCAAGCCAGGAGGCAGGTGATTTACCGCTGGAAGCAGGAAGGAGCCAGCTGCATGTTTGCTAAAGGTACAAAAAATAAAAAATCCAGCTAGCAGCACCTCTAAAATTTTAGTTTTCAAGTGAAATCTTGTTTGCTTAATCAATACAAAGGTGGGTTACATGCTCGCTCCTTTCAGCTCTCCAGATCTAATAAAGTGATGCTGGCCTAAGCTCAGGGTTTAGCTGATTGGCTTCTATTAGAATAGAAATGCAAACTCACACACATGCTCAGTGTCTCCAGCAAAGCCAGTGTACTTTGCCTTAACTTTGCTCAGACATGATCAGCCGAGCGTTGGGTCCAGAGTTTGGCGGCAGCATCGGCATCATGTTCTTCCTGGCCAACGTGTGCGGCAGCGCTCTCTATGTGCTCGGCCTGGTTGAAGCTATTGTGACCACATTTGGAGTCCCTGAAGGTAAGTTTTAGGTTTTACAGCTTGAGAAATGAAAACACATCAACACGGTTTACTTTTTTGTTTGAAAAGGAGTCAGAGTTGTGGGCCGTCATTTGGACTGATAAATGTAACAGTAGGAAATAATAATAGAAAATAGATTTTAGTTTAAAAGGCCAATGTTGTACTCCTTTTCATAAGTCTCCCATGTCCCTAGAATGTGTCTTAATGTGTCTCCTAGTTGTGGATCCGTTCCCACCAGGTTGTGTCTGTAGTTTATAAGTGCAGCTGAACTCTGTCGGCTTCTGGAAGTGGTGCCACGAAAACGCACGAGTTCAACGATGCAGGTTAAACAAGACTGGACATGAAAGCAGTGACAAGTGGTAAAAGCCAGCTAGCTTCTTGGTGCTGTGTTACACCAAACTCTGTACTGTCAGGGAATGCTAACAAAGAAGCTAGCTGAGTTCAGGTTGCATTGGAGCACAGCTTGAAATGACAGTAAGCTAACTCGTATTGTCATAGCTTTTACATCTTAAAGTTTCTAAAAAACATGTAATGTAAAAGAAATACATTTCCACAATGTGGGACTTTTAAAGAAACTCAAGAACATTTGTTAAAATGAGTTTTTATGTTCTAACAACATAGAAACCCAAAAATGAGTGAGAAATGATTTTGTTAAGTTTGTTTGCTGTGACTTGGATGACAAGTTTAGTTCTGTTAATTTATCTGTACAGTAAATACAAAGCTACAGGTATTTGTTGACTAGCGTAGCTTAGCACAACACCAACATATAAAATTGACAATACGCTGTTTTTTTCCTGTGGTCTTTCATTATTATTCAAAGAAAACATAATGACTTGACTAGTGAGCTTTAGAAGTCTGAATGATGCCTTCGTTAACTTTTTGACAGCCAGACTCGTTCTTTCCTTGTTCTTTGTGCTAAGCTAAGCTAATAGACTGATAGGTATCACTTCATATATATACTGGACAGGTGGGAGTGTCCTGTTGATCTTCTCATCAAAAAACTCAAAGTTTTTTCCAGTGAATGTGAAACTGTTTCCTCAGCTATGAAGGTCATTGGTTTTACAGGATATAGCTCGATACGTTTCCCTGATCCTTTAGAGTAGGATGTGCTTTTTCATCTCAGGTAAATAGAAGCCAGAGAGCGCTCTTATTTAGAAAACAGCAACACCAAATCTGAACGATTGATGTCGTAGAAGAGATGGAAAATTCTAGAAAATGTTCCTACAGGACTCTGGTGACAGCGTTCACCTGGATAACAGATGCCTGTGCTACACCTACAGTACTGAGAGATCTGTCTGGATGTGTGAATATGAAGCAGGAAGTTGTAGAAAAGACGACGCTGTGGGGAACTGAGCTTAAAAAATGAAGAGTTTGCTGTTGCAGGTCCTGTTTTTAAAAGCACTTCACTTCAACTCTTCAACATATTCTGGCAAACATTCAAAATATGATCAAGGCCTCGTTTACACGGTGATGTTTCAGTGTGTTTGGGTTTTTGGTTTACACGTAAATGAAGCTACAAATCACCGAAAACCATCACATCTGGAAACTCCGGCCACAGTGGAGGTTTGGAAAAGTCTTTGCATGTAGCCAGGAGGAGGCGGAGTCTGATGTCACAGCGTGCGACAAAAGCGTCATCAGGTCACATGTGTGCGGCCATGTTTACAGTCTGGCTGCTGTGATAGAAAGTCAATAGTTTCAAGTGTTTTACTGATTCAGGAGCAGCTCTACGTCTCTGTCGGTCCAAACAAATGACCCTCGCACCGCTATCGTTGAAGTAACAAGAAGTAATTTGTTGTATTGTTTTCCAGGATTCTGATTGGCCAGCATGGCTTTATGCTTCTCGTTACACTGCCCCCTGTAGGTCTGGCAGCTCATAGCAGCTCTTAATGATGTGTTTAAGTGGGTTTGTGTGAACAAAGATTTTTTTTAAAAGCGATCTGGTGTGAACGATGTTAATTTAGAGAACGTAGATCCATTTGTGTAAATACCCGGCTGTGTGTAAACGTGGCCTCAGACTCCTCTTACATGTCGCCCTCTTGCTAGATGGGACTCTGGCCACTTCTCCCTACCAGGTCCTGCCTTCGGGCTACTGGTGGTCCCTGCTTTACGGCACCGGCGTCGCCCTGCTCTGCCTGCTGGTGTGCCTGGTGGGAGCCCACATCTACGCCAAGGCCACCTTCCTCATCTTCGTGGTGGTCATGTTTGTCCTGGGCACCATCTTCGTCAGCTTCTTCGCCGTACACCCTCGAACCATCGTGCTGCCGCGCCCCGCCTCGTTCAACCCGACGCCCAATGGGACCGGCCCTTCGTTTCCCAACACGGCCAATTTTACCGGCTTCAAGCTGGACACGCTGCTCGGGAACCTGTGGGGTAAGATGGAGGAGCTCTGGGCCAAAAACAACACATACAAGCACGTTTGAAAGGCTTTACGTCATCTTCACTGTGTTTACTTCTTCAAGTTCTTCAACATAATTCAATCCTGATTAAAAACAGGGATGTTTATAAGCAACTGACTACCAGATAGCTGCTGTTAATAATTAGATAATAATAAACCAATACTATGTACCAGCAGAGTAAACAAGGGAGGGACTGAGGTTTGATTGTTTAGTGCTGGGTTGCAGTTTTTTATTTACCGTGTTAGCATGTCCACATGGTATTTATTATATGCTAGAAAACCCCCATTGTGATTGAAATAAGCAGTCAACGGCATAAATGAGTAATTCCACCTTAAAACTGTCACGTACTGATTTCAGACTTCTGGGGCTTCATACATAACAAATCTGAAGAGGCCACTTCTATGTCAGTGTTCTTCAGAGTCAATGTCTTGTCGTAGTTGAGTTGAAGGTGAGCTGGTGTGCTCGAGCTGCAGTAACCAGGGAGGAGAGAGAGGGAATAGCAGTGTGCATTGAAGCCATTTAAAGGTATAAATAAAATATATTCATGGAAAAAAAATCTAAATATGTGACTTTGAAATGCAGCGATGATTCTTTGGCTGTTAAATCTGCGACTGGCTCACGTCCTGGATAAAAACTTAAGGGAGGGGATCATTTTAATTTAGTTTATCAGGATTATTCATATTCTGTGGCAGTTAAGGGTCTATGGAGAATGTACACTTATGCTGTGAAATGGTTCAGTGGACGAAGGTGAACAGGTGTACACAGAATTGGAAACTGACGAGCACTTTAACAGCTCACTGAGTTTGATCGCCTAACCATAACCATAACTATAACCATAACTATAACCATAACCATAACCATAACAGAAACTCATTTGGACTGACTCAGTGTGCAGCTTAAGACTTTGACTAGATGTAGCCTACACGGCCTTTCGACACTCGGTTGGTGCTTAACAAGCATTAGCCGGGGTGGAAAATGCACACAGTTCATTCTACAGACTTATAGTATTGCTCCAGTATCAGCTCGGTGGCCCGTGTTTCTCTGGACTTTAATCCGACAGTCGTACGTTTCCTGTGCTGTGGCCCGTCTCACTGCACACGCCACCGCTTCCACCACTGGCCCAGCGTAAACAACTGCTCTCTGAACAAACATTAATAATGCATCATCCTGTTCCCTCCAGACACAACTTCCAGTAAGATAATAACACATTAAAGCACACAATCATTCCCGTAAGAGAAAAGAAATGCCTGTGAAATAGCTGCACGTATGATGAGTAATCGTCACAATCAGCACCGCCACCTACCAGCTCTCCTCCTGGAGCTCCACGCAGTCGATCAATAAGATGGCGGTTTAAATGCCGCGGCCATTTTACTCAGAAGGAATTCTACGTATCCGTCCCTTCAGCCTCCTCTCAGTCCTTTATTCATCAGTTTACAAAGGGCAGCAACAGGACACTTAAAAAAGCCGATAACATTCAGTAATATGATCATATTCTGTTCAGTGTCTGAGTAGATGAGCCACTTTATTCACGCAGAAATCTCATTAGGAGTAAACGAGATGCAACATGCTAAGAATCAAGCTTCAAACGCGCTGCTAGGCAGATTTTATTACCTTTGGACTGAGTCAAGCTAGCGGTTGTGCTGAGCTAAGCTAACCAGCTGTGTCCTATTTATTGCACAAACTCTGGAGGGAAGAGTCCCAGTAACTGCATTTCATTCCGTCTTCTGTGATCCCAGCTGGCCTTTATGCAAACGCCGACACCACCCAGTTGTGGTGCGATCCCTCACCGGCTTCCCACCCATTAACCCAACTAAAATAACAGCCAAAGTCTCCTCCAGTGTTTTTGCCTCGTGCCACCTGTGTGCACCCGTTTTCCTGAGAGCACGTAACCTCCTCGCTGCGCCGAGTTGTGATTGATGTGTAATTAGATGTTGTACATGTTCTCTGGATCTTAATGACCACAGAAACCAAATGAGCACTCCACTTTGTTTGCAGGGATTTATAGCCAAGCACATGATTACTGAGCTAATTGCTGTAACTCAGGCATGTGCACGTGAAAACTATTACACACACACACACACACACACACACACACACCAGCTCTGAATTATCCTGATTTGGCTCAATACAAACACAATCTCACACACATACTGATATGAGTTGGATGGGTTTCGGCGTCCAGAGACGAGGCTCATCATGTGTTTACAATCACATCCTGGTTTGTTGGAGCAACGCGCCCAAGTTTCAGTCTGTAAAACTGTTGTACTGCTTCACAAGTATACCTGCACAGTGCTGTGTGGAGGTTTTGTTGGATCCCCTCAAGGTAAAAGGGAAATATTTCACAGATTAAAAAGAAAAACCGTTCTCTCCTTTCCAAGTGTACACATCCACACAGAGGGGATCTGTTGCCGCTCAAAGCTGTGAAATATAACTTTTACTAATCAATCATGTGGTTGCGTCGACGTGTTCTGTAAACAGCGGACATGATTTGTGCAGAATTGTTTTTCTCCAGTGCTCTAAAACATGATAATTGAACTTTCTGATAACGCTGACTGTGATGTTTTATCTGTTGCTCTGTCTTCCCACAGCCAAGTACACTGAAGATTACACAACAGGAAACATGATGACCTTTACCACCGTGTTCGCGGTGATGTTCAACGGCTGCACCGGCATCATGGCAGGTTCTAACATGTCAGGTAGGTGACAGCAGGCTGTGTTTGTGTGACAGGACCTGGAGTCATGTGTAGTCGTTATAACCAAATCCAAATATTAAAGTAATGTAGTTGATTAGTTGTAGTTACTTTAGCATTACTTCAGTTACAAATATTCAAATAAAGACAAAAAAAAAACAGCACTAAAATGACTTTTAATTAAATGTTCACGCATTATAACGTCACAGTGCAACTTATAAACTCTTTGTTAGAGCTCGTCTGTCTGAGCTGAAGGAAAGCACACATTTATCATGAGATGCTGGCCTGTCCATGTCAGGGATGAGACAGCGATGAGCAGCCTGACTAATGAAGTTATCGCTGCTGTTCTGTGTGTGACATCACGCTACTCTGGGTCCTGCTGCTGTTTGACGCTGCAGGTATTTAAGAAACGACTCCTACAAACAAGCTGAACCGGCGTTACGGGCAAACTGTAAATGAATAGAACAAATAGAGGAGTTTGTCCATATCCGTCAGCTAGAGGTGCCCACACTGTCTTTTTTTAGGACTCTCTGTGATGTTCTTTGGGGGACAGACAGACACTGAAGTGTGATGAAGTGTGATGGCTAACCCTGGCCTGGTCGCATGTCGTTCTTCAGTCCATTTAAAATGTGTTATGAAGTTGCTACCCCGCTCATGGTCCTCATGATATTTATGAGACGTATGATAAACACATTAAGCTATTCCATGTTACTCCCAGAGCTGACTAGGAACATGCAGTTAGACTTGTCTCATCCTCCAGGCGACCTGAAGAATCCCAGCTACTCCATCCCCCGTGGCACCATCACAGCCGTCATCTTCACCTTCATCATCTACAACCTGCTGTGTGTGCTGGTGGCCTGCTCCTGTGACCGGTCAGTAACAAACGTCTTCATAAGTAGCTCCGACACTAGTGTAATGCAGCTACGAACAACCGAGGAGCAGTGAGATGGTCCATAATTGAACATTAATTCCACACATATCCAAACAACTTAATTAAGCCTCGCATTAGGAGCACAGCCTTGTTGTAATGGATGTTAGCATGTTTTGTTTTCAGCAGATGATATCCAGTTCTTAGAGGCTATCAGATAATGCAGACAGGGTTCATTTTCTGCTTCACCGGCCAGAGTTGGAGCGTCGGAGGAGGCCAATTTTAAAACCATTTATTCCACTGGAATGCTATCTGACGCCAGGTGTCAGCTAATCAAACCGAGCAACTGCAGAACGTGCGGATCAAAGTGGACAAAATAATGGAAACGTAGCACCTTGCACTTTGTGTGCCAGAAAAGCCTGGAACCTGGACCACTGACAGCATTTGGGGATTTGCACATCTTTTATTCATTGTCCAGCACGTTTATCTGCATTATTACTGTACCAACAGCTCAATAAAGAGCAGCAAACCAATATGCATGACCTGAACCGAAAAATGACTCAAAGGTGACTTAAAGATGACTGAGTCCGTCTACGGCTGGCAGTGTTTGAAGCATGTACTCATAGTTTGTAGTTTAATGTCTAATACTGGTGAAGCGTTTACCTGTTAGCACGCAGCTAACGAGCTATTAGGGACGGATGAGTAACTGTGGTGTTTGTGTCCTTACTTTGCTCTTAAGGTTGGAGCTGTTTAGTCCTTGATGTAGCAGATGGTATTTACTTTTTTCTGTTCATTTGTCCTGCCTCTCCCTCTCTCCAACTGTCTCTTTCTATCTGTCTTTTGCCGGGTGCCAGAGTTCAGTATTGATGCAGCTCTAAAGCGAGTGTTGCCAAGGTGCTAAACTGACATGACAGGGCTATAAAAGAGCATCTGAGATCAATACTGCCATCATTTACCCTGCCGCACCATGCTCCCTGCACCTGCCTACCACACACACTCAGTGATAAGAAGTTTCTTAACACACTTTCTGGACTAATACAGTGTCAGATATTTTCCTCTGGAATCACGCTCGTGCTTTGTGTACGTTTACATACGTCCTCTAGTTACCTGCTTGTGTACTTACTGTGTCGTATGTAGTGTCACAGGTGGACATACGTCCAGTGGAGGCGGGCTGCAGTGGGACCAGGTCAGCGCTGAGCTCCTCCCCTACAGGGGGTCTCTCACAGAACCTGTGTGTGTTTGTGGGGAGGGCGCTGCCTTTCTTGTACTGGAAACGTATCTTGGGGGATAACGCCTCCATACACAGTGGTGTCCCAGAGCCAGACCCATCTACGGTGCTGTGTCAGTTCTGGAGGATGTTGTGGCTGTTTCATTCTGCTACAGGAGGAACACTCCACTATTGGGTGGTGCTAAACAGTCACACACAGGTAACAGAAGAGGAGGAGTGTTGCATGAAGCAAATGATGGAAAAGAGCAGGTTTATACCCACAGTCTCCATCTGGACAGTCAGACTGTGGACATGGTGGTTTGTCAGACCGCTTCAGGGACACATGGTCACATAAAGCAGCAGTCCCTAACCAGGACTACATGTACCCCCGGAAGAACCTGTGCGGTTCCAAAGATGAAAAAATAGAAATTATGTGCCAGGTGGCTCGGTGGTTAGCACCGTGGCCTCACAGCTAGAAGGTCTCCGGTTGGCATCCCAGTGAGGACACCCGGGATCTTTCTGCGTGGAGTCTCCATGTTCTCCCCGTGCAGCGTGGGTTCTCTCCGGGTTCTCCGGCTTCCTCCCACAGTCCAGAAACATGCTGAGGTTAATTGGTGATTGTAAATTGTCCGTAGGTGTGAATGTGAGTGTGCTTGGTTGTCTGTCTCTAAGTGTAGCCCTGTGATAGACTGGTTACCTGTCCAGGTGAACCTGCCTTCACCCTGAGTCAGCTGGGATAGGCTCCGCCCCCCATGACCCTGGTGAGGACGAAGGTGTAGAGATGATGGACGGATGTTTTAATGCTGAGTGAGCAGAACATCTGGAGGTTACATGAGGCCACTGAGAACCTTTGAAAGCGAGTTAGCAGGAAAGCAAAGAGGTCAGTGGGTCGATCAGCGCAATGCATCAGTGGTCAGAACACAAAGCTAAACCGTGATATGAAGAATAAATGTTTGAAATACTCGGACAGAAGTAATACATTCACTGTTAAACAGCTAAAAGTCTTCAGAAGTGACGGATGAGCCGTTGAAACGAGGTAAAGGACAAATGAATCTGGTCGACAACTCAAAGTGTCCGACAAGTTGTTAGAACGGAAATCCCCAGATCAATAAGCAGCTGCTCCTTTACCAGAAGTAATGGACAAAAGAACAACTTGAACTCGTGAAAGTTCCAAAGTTCAAGGACACGTAGTCGCAGCTCAGTGGGATGGATTCCTGCTTAAAGTGGCCGAATTCACAGACTTACTGATTGTAAACTGCAATCGCTAACTCAGCGTTACTTATAAACAGTGAAAAAAAAAGTAAGAGATAAGTGGTTGAAAGAAATGAACGTAACAGATTTATGCCTGATTTATATATAGCTGTTCAAACTGTTCAAACACAAATGATAAAACAAATAGTTGATGGTGGCACAGCCCAACTGCAGCCCAGCCTGCCTGAACACAGACTGAATGTTAAATAACATCCAGTTTAACATAAATCCAAGTTACCAGAGTGGTGACATGGTGGCTGCTGATAACAGAGAACCTGAATTCATCTGACGGGACTCTGAGGATTCTGTAAACAGGAAATTCTGGAGTACACAACATTGCGGTTAACGTGAATGCATCCCCACATTGGGTTCGGTCCAGTGAAACAACACAGAGTCCGTTTTAACAGTCCAACAGGACGCCATGCCGGATAGCCTGAGCAGCCTCCTCCCCAGCCGTGGAGCTTACTGTAAATATATGCACCGCTTCTGTAGAGCTCGGGTCATATGATTTATGGCTTACTGTGTGGGGGAAAATACTCCTGTCAGAGCAGGGTAGGAACAGGAACACAGAGGCGGGGTGGAAAGTGAAACATGAAGTTGCTCCGAGCTGTGACGACTGATTTTGAAATGCAGAAGAACGGAAGCACACCTGTGCTGTAAAATCCTGTTCTATTGGCTTCAGGCCCGGACATCACTCCCTGTCTTATCTGAGTGTGCTCAGGGTTGTTTGGTTTATTAGCGCTGACCAGAATCGGACTGATAGTGAGCGTTCTGCAGCTGAAGAAAATGTATAACAATTACTCAGAAGCACTGAGAGAATGGTATTTCTTCATTGTGCGTTTATCTCTTTGTCCTCATGCGAGCCAGATGTCTGACTTTGAGATTTCTGACGTAAATGTTTTTTCAAATGATGGTTAATGTGAGAAAACAAGAAGGAAGTATTAATATTTAACTTTAAAGCTGTTGTTTTCACTTCACAGATATGATATCATCTTCCAGTTAGAATCCCACTTTTGGTTCTGCATTGTAATGACTGGAATGTACCGTTCACGCTTTCACAACAGTTTGATTGTGCAATGTTTGAAAAGAGTGACCAGACTGACATTTGACACCAGACTCAGACTAAGAATGGCCCCATTGACTGGAGACGGTAAGCGGTCCAATAGCGACGGTGGCAGGTCCCACACATGCACCGTCTGACTTGGTGTGAATAAGAGCTTCTGTGCATCACCTAAGTGAAGCGAGTACTGCGCTTCTTTGTGTTTCATCTCCTGCTTGCAGAACAACATTTACATTCACTGCTGTTTGTGCTGCATTAGGCCGACTCACTGCTGGAAAAATATGACCAGCGATACCTGAAGTGCATCATAAAACTTTATTGGATTTCTGCAGAAAGACCAACATTTATCATGGCACAAGAATTCATGTAACATCTATTTTTCAAGTGCAAACGGGGAAACAAGCTGGTCGTCTGTTATGAATGCAAGATCGCACTCAGAGACGACTGCTTGTGAAACGTCGTCGTATGAATACTAGGGCTGCACAATCAATCGAATTGTAATCACGATATCGGCTTCCTGCGATCAGGTTTGCGTGATCGAGCGATTTTTAAAATGTGTGATGCTGTGTTCACACCAGACGCCAGTGAAATCATTTGTTCTAATGATTTACATGTAAAGTCAATGTGAAGACGCGATTAGACGTCCTGCGGTGCGACTGACGTGAATTGAGCGAGTTATTTGCACGTATGACGCGATTCTAGACGCGTGTTTAAAGAGCAAGTTGAAAAATCTGAACTTTTGCGATCTGACGCGCCGCGATGGCCAATCAGTGTTGAGATTCTCTGGTGACATCATTCAGTTTTTTTACAACTACACCGTGATGACTGATTGATTTACTTTTATTCACTTCCAGTTTATAATTTAGTTCAGAACATATATTTACAGAATGGAAATGGGAAGCAGTGCCCCGTTTTGTTGCCTTTTCATTATTCTTTTATTTATCTTTATTTAATTTTTAAGGACTGAATTTTGGAGGAAAACAGGACCGGTTTTATCTTCAAGCACATATTTGCACATTAGCAGGAATATAGCACAATACATGGACGTGAAAACAGTTAAAATAAGTCTGTAAAACAATAAGATTTGTTTTGGTTAAAATCAACAAACAATCGTGATAATTAATCGTGATTTCAACATTTATCAAAATAATTGTGATTCTGATTTTGGCCGTACTCGTGCAGCCCTAATGAATACGACCACGTGTCCGTTTTCTGATAGCACCATGGATGAGCGCTACGGAGACAAACCCCGAGGCAAAGAGCCATCTCTCATCAATTTATCTCACGCAGCCAGTTGTTCACGCCGTCGTAACACGCTTTGACATGCAAACATGTGTCAGGCAGAATTCTTTTCTCTTTAAATTATGCAGACAAGCGGGCTAAACAAATGATCACGGATTAAACTATGACTGTTTCTATTAAAGTCATCCATCATGTCGCACCTGGAACAAGTCTCCGGGGGTGACATGGCAGCATCTTAATATTA